GTACCCCAACCTGGGTAAAAGGAAGACAAAGAAAAACGTGGTATACCAGATGAGAATCCATTACTTCATCTGCTGCTTTCATTTCCAAAAATGCACAAATTATACTATCCATGGGAGTTTCTCTGTAAACATCTTTGATTAATTACCGAGAACTTTCACTGAAGTAAATTGACAGGTTTTTTGGAGCATTCTATGTGGAAAATAGAGCTTAGTCAAATTTACCATTTAAGCAAATGATTCTTCATGCAAATCGGAAAATGTATCTATGCTACCTAAGGCACAGTTTAACAGTAAATATGATTATGCAAAATTTCCATGAAAAATTGCCTTTAAAAATGTCCTAGCAGCAATAAAATCTATTTATATAAGCAAATAATTCTGAAAGCATGCAGCCCCTTTTCAAATGTTTGTGAATAAACAACTCTTAGATACAGATAATTATGCATATTTTGTAATTTCAAGATTGTGAAATATGCTGTTCCCAGTCGAGTTTGTTTAAATAAAGAATTAATTGCATTAAAGCCATACCTTTCATTGTGTTTGTTAAAGTTGGTTTCAAAGAACATAAAAACAGTGAAACAGTAATCCATACAAGAAAATCCCACTTTAAACGAAACAAAAAACACATACTTATAAAACTCCAAATGATAATGTGGTATGTCTCTGACTGTACAGTAACTTGGTTACAGATGGTAGATGGCAGTCAGGTGTAAAGAAATCTAGCTAGTTCATAGTAATGAACTTTTGTGTCTTACTAACCAGTATGTTTATGTGTACAGCCAACACCCCTGGTAATACTTTTATTTCAGAGTATTTATAGGCATAAAAATCTATTCAGACCCATGGCTTTTTCCCAACTTAGAGTAGAATTCTGGGATAAAACTAACTAATCTTAAAAATGCTCCTTCCTCCTTCTAACACCTATTCTATTTAACATGTACAAAAAAGGTCTGTATACTTACCTATTTTTAAGCTGCTCTGGGAGAGTCAGCTTATCTCCCACATTAGTCAGCGCCAGCTGCAGGGGAGAAGAAAGAGTGCTCGACAATGGCTGATAATGCCTGAGCAGTGACATCACTTAGAGGTGTACTAAGGCCCAGGCATTGCCGGTGCTCCCTTCTGTCCCTAGAAGCTGCTGCTGACTGGCACAAGGCCAATCATGTGGCCGAACTGGAGCAGCATAAAATTAGGTAAGAAAGATCTTACACACATTAGTTAGCATAGGTGTTAGGAAGTGAGAGGAAGAGGGGACATTAAAATTAGTTAACTTTATCCCAATGATTCTACTTTAAGAAATGCCTGCTGATCTAATGTTTATGCGTACCTTACTTTCGACCATTCAGATACAAAGGCACTCAAAGCACTTATGTGACCGAATTACATTTCACCTCTAAAGATTTGAAAGAACTAAAAGCTGGGCATACACTACTAGAATTAGTTTTTTTCTAATGCTTAGTGTGGTCAAATCAGTGTTTGTTTTCAACAGTAGTGATGAAAAAATTAGACAGGGCAGGTTGAGAATTGTTTCTCATTCTAACTGTGAATATGGTTTGTGTTTGGCAAAAATAATACATATTGTAATGAAAACTGTTTAATACACCTGGGATTATATTTAAATAGCAGATTTGGATGGATTTTTAATGGCTTTTAAACAAAGTTAGTTGACTCAATTATAATGTTCTGGTGAGAATTTTTGTAGGAAATCCACTAGTCAACTTAAAACATTGAATGTATAAACAATATAGGAGATTGGGAAATTAAGTTGGCGATGGAGAAAACCAGATGCAAATTTATAGTTGAACTACACTGCATCTGAGCACCACAAACCAAAAGAGCTATTTAACCACTTCCCATATGCCCTATAGCAGTAATACTGCTACAGGGCGGCAGGGGTATGCAAAATCGCGTATATATATGTGATTTTGCATTTCCGGGTAGGGTCGCGGCCTCAGCTGTCAATCACGAGGCTGGTGATTACTCGCTGGCACCCGGTGATCGAGGATTATTACTGACGGAGGGAGAGAACTGTATGTAAATAATACAGTTCTCTCCCCTGTTAACTCCTGCACACTGCTATGCATGGCTTTGCATAGCAGAGCCATGCATAGCAGTGTGTTTACAGTGAAACACACACACACAGCACACAGTTAACCCTTTGATCGCCCCACATGTTAACCCCTTCCTGCCCAGTGCTATTAGTACAGTGTCAGTGCTTTTTATTAGCACTGATCACACTTATAGTGTCACTGGGAATGTCAGTATATATACCGCCATTTGTGAACGCTACAACTTTCACATAAACCTATTAATTTACACATATTGGGATATTTTTTTAAGCAAAGACATGTAGCAGCATACATTTTGGCCTAAATGTATGACAAAATTTTGTCTTTTCACATTTTTTTACTGGACATGTTTAATAGCAAAAAGTAAAAAATATTGTTTTTTTTCTCAAAATTGTTGCTTTTTTTTATTTACAGCGCAAAAAAGAAAAAACGCACACTCAATCAAATACCATCGAAAGCTCTATTTGTGGAGAAAAAAGACTGTAAAATTTATTTAGGTTCAGCGTTGCATGACCGCGCAATTGTCAGTTAAAGTAATGCAGCGCCGTAACGCAAAAAATGGGCCTGGTCAGGAATGGGGGTAAATCCACATGTTTAATATGCAAAGCAAATGTCAATCCATGTCTCCATGCTTTATTTTGCTGAGAAATCACTTAGAAAAACACCCCCTAGCATTTCTGGCCGTGGCCATCCTGAGTATGGGCAGATCATTAATTTGGCAATTACTTCTCTACTGCTAGGGTGACAGTATGTTAAAAAAAAACACATGAATAATAATATAAAAAAAAAAAATGTAAAAAAAAATGTGAAAAATTATGTTTTTTGGTTATAAACGAATTTGTTTTTTTTTTTTAACTAAAAAGATAACAGAATATATTTTGGCCAAGATTTATATAGAAAGATTATTTATTTGCAAAATTTTATAAGAAAAACACTTTTTTTTCAAAATTTTTGGAGTTTTTCATTTATATAGCAAAAAAGTAAAAATTCCAGTGGTGAATAAATACCACCAAAATAAAGTTGTATCTGTCTCAAAAAAAATGCTAAAAAATTCATATGGGTACAGTTTTGCATGACCCGCGCAATTGTCATTCAAAGTGTGATAGCACTGAAAGCTGAAAATTGGCCTGGACTGGAAGAGGGTGAAAGTGTCCGGACTTGAATTGGTTAATGACCACATATTTTTTAAATTTGCAGAACATGGGGCATCCTCACTCTGAAACCTGTACTTTTTTGCAGAGTTTCTAAGCAATTAAACACAATATTATAATAAGATCAGTTCACTAATAGTAAGTCACTTTATATTGGTTATATTTTTTTAATTCTGCTGGGAAATCATTTCATATCAGAATAAGGTAACCATAATGGCCATGCAAAACTGATATAATTAAATATTGTTCTGAATTGAGAAAATACTCGTCCAGGCCCCTTACAGAGTTTGATTAAAAGACAGCACATTGCAATGTGAAGGTTACCTTGTCACTACACAATAAATAAAAGGAATCATCTATAAAAATCTGAAAAATGTTCTTCCTATAGTGACTAATCAGAAATAAGCTGTTATTCGGCAGGTAACAGATAAAATATGATAACAAACATCTATGTAAATTGGTAATGTGTTTTGTTTGTTTTATATATACACTGCTCAAATAAATTAAATGAACACTTTTTAATCAGAGTATTACATCAAGTCAATTAAACTCCTAGGATATTGACCTGTTCAGCTAATAAGTAGAGGGGGATTTGTTAATCAATTTCAGCTGCTTTGGTGTTAATGAAATTAACAACAGGTGCACTAGATGGGCAACAATGAGACGACCCCCAAAACAGGAATGGTTTTACAGGTGGAGGCCACTGACATTTTTTTCCCTACTCATCTTTTCAGACTGGTTTTCACTAGTTTTGCATTTGGATAGGGTCAGTGTCACTACTGGTAGCATGAGGCAATACCTGGACCCTACAGAGGTTGCCCAAGAAGTCCAACTCCTCCAGGATGGCACATCAATACATGCCATTGCCAGAAGGTTTGCTGTGTCTCCCAGCACAGTCTCAAGAGCATGGAGGAGATTCCAGGAGACAGGCAGTTACTCTAGGAGAGCTAGACAGGGCCTTAGAAGGTCCTTAACCCATCAGTAGAACTGGTATCTGCTCCTTTGTGCAAGGAGGACCAGGATGAGCACTGCCAGAGCCCTACAAATTGACCTCTAGCAAGCCACTGGTGTGAATGTGTCTGGCCAAACAATCAGAAATGGACTTCATGAGAGTGGCCTGAGGGCCTGACATCCTCTAGTGGTCCCAGTGCTCACTGCATGGCACCAGAGAGCTCGATTGGCATTTGCCACTGAACACCAGAATTGGCAAGTCCGTCACTGGCGCCCTGTGCTTTTCACAGATGAGAGCAGGTTCATCCTGTGACAGACGTGAAAGGGTCTGGAGAAGCCATGGAGAATGTTATGCTGTCTGTAACATCATTCAGCATAACAGTTTTGGTGGTGGGTCAGTGATGGTCTGGGGAGGCATATCCATGGAGGGACACACAGACCTCTACAGGCTACACAATGGCACCCTGACTGCCATTAGGTATCGGGATGAAATAAGATTTTCAGGAATTCAGGGTCTCTGAATTCAATCCTCTGTAGGTTGATAATTTTCATTTCCATCAAACGATGGGGCATCCTAACATTCCTAACACATTACCCAGTCCATGTCAGTATAGATATTCAGCATGATGCTTTTCCCCATTGAGATCTGATGTGTTTTCAAAGTGTTCCTTTAATTTTTCTTAGCAGTGTATATTTTGTACACTGTCTTGAAATCATAGTTGCTACTTGGTAAGAAGTTGTCCCTGCTACAAACAATAAAATTTTGGTTAAAATAGTCATTTTCTGCAAGTAAACCCCTATGAAAATATCATGTAAACCATAGCACACTCACCTATCAGACAGGAGGGACTTCAGTGGTTTACTGGAAGATGATGTCTTAAATGGTCTAGTGAATTCTTTTCTGTCATCAATGTTTGGAGATTTTTGAAACCGTCTGCAGAAAGGCAAATTAAATAATCACAGCTAGATCTAAAATCAGATGAAAAGCGTAGTAGCCAGAGTCTGGAGCAGATGCATAGCAACCAATAAGCTTCCATCTTTCTTTTTCAAAGTTTAACTGGACAAGCTGAAGTTAAAAGCTGATTGATTGCCATGCACAGATTCTCCAGATTCTGTCTGCTCCAATTTTGATAAATTCCCCCTTGTGTTTCTTTTAATTTCCGTATTATGTAGTCTTTATAGGAAGTAAAAGTCATGCATACGGCCTTGATCCTTGTGTGCTATAACATAGTGACTCCTCCAGAATTCTGAGTTCACAGGGGAAGCTGTGAGAAAGCATATTCACTAAGACAAAACCAGAAGCTTAGGGTGTCTTCAGCAACAGTAGTTGGTGTATCTTACTATGGCAGACCAACTGTTCATAGCTTAAAGTGCAGCATCTCATATGGTGCAAGTGAAGATGTATAACACAGCAAGACCTTTACCTTTCAAATGTTAACATTTTACTGTATTTTGAAAGTAAGCTATTAAAACTGCCATGCCACCTCCTTACTGCAAGGGTTAAATGCTTGATTTTATATAGAGGAAACATAATAAACAGTTATACTTAAAGTGACAAGAAATTCTTTTTTTCCTAAATTCTATTCAAGTATGTATTCTCAATTATAAAAGGACCTTCTATTGCTCTCGGCCTCCTTCAAGTTCCATTTTATTTTGCTGCTGTAATCCAACTTCCTGTTGGAGGTTGGCTACATTTGTTCCCCATGGTCCCACCTTATGTAGGAATGATGCCACCCTCTCTTGCTTGCTCTTAAAGAAGAAATACAGCCAAAGCTCTTTTGGCAGTATTTCTCTTGTGGATCACAGGAGTAGATCGTTCTGCAATCCTGTGACCTGTTTGCAGCTGACCGCGAGCTGAAGCCCGCTGTCGGCTGATGTCAATCAGCTGGTCCAGGCTGGGGACTTTAAAGTCGGGATCCACCCCAGAGTCTGGAGCAACACCTAGCTCAGCCTCTCAGTGTGCCACTGAGATCTTGAGCCAGCCACTCTCTACCCCTCCACAGCCCAGCTCTCCAGTGAGCGCTGGGGGAGCACAGCACAGCAGTGACAGTGACAGTCACCGCTCTCTGCTCAGCACAGCAGTGATAACTCAGCGATCATGTGATCGCTGAGTTCTCTCCCCTCAGGGCCAGCAGGGTACAGATGCAGAAGCGGACCAATGCTGCATCCACCTAGGTAAGTATGATTTAAAAAAAAAAAAAAAAATAGACTCCGAAAGAAAATGATTTCATGAAAAGTAGATAACTAGTGGATGTGTATGAATTATTTTTGGAGAAGAAGGATATTTGGACAATAAGGATAAAAATAGTTTTCCTTGTTCCTGTGGCAGCCTGTGCCCTTCTCCTCTCCCCAATGCTCCAGGTTTTTGGTAGCCCCTGGCTGTCCTCACCTACAATGCAGGACTGTTGGTAGAAATGTCTGTAAGTATGGTACCTAACTATTGAGCCTGTTAAAACAGAAGTATCGCCAAAGGTTTTCTGGTTATTCTTATCTTCTGGGTCACTTGTCGGAACTTACTTTTGCACTCCTGTGACCCAGAAACAGTCAACAACAGGCTATCAGCTGATGTCCCAGAGCTGCTCCAGGCTCCGGAAGGATCAAGACCATATTGTCAGGATCCACCCAGCTGCCTGACTTTCATCTGGCTCCGTCTTACAGGACCGTGCTGAAGGACCGAAGCCAGCTGCACCTGTCCCCTATCCTCTGTACTGGAGGGCCAGAGCGGAGAGCAGTGACTACTTAGAGAATACCAAGAAGTGAGTGATCAGAAGTCATGTGGTCGCTCAGTTCTCAGTCTTAGAACCGACATGAGACAGCTGCAGCATCACACCAATGGGGTGTGTATATACGTTTTTTTTTTTGCAGTTCCAAACTTTTGAGCTCACCTACACCCTAGCCTTGCCATTGGTTACATGGCCAACAGGATAGATCAGGGGTGTCCAAACTTTTTTCAAAGAGGGCCAGATTGGATGAAGTGAACATGGTGGAGGGCCGAACATTTTTCCGAACATTCTTTGAACCATTACAATTAAATGCAAATAAATTATTTTATGCCAAGTTAATTGCAAACGACATACTTTTCATTTCATAACATTAAGATCAACTGACAGCTGAGTTTTCACAATGTATTGAAAATAAATTTTAAAAAAACTTACCTGCACTAATGTGAAGGGTGAAAAAGGTAGCTGGAGCTGAAGTCTCTGCTCGGCAGCCGGGAGGGGAAGAGAAACACACTTCACGCTGGAAGCCCGGCCCTGACGTCACCACCCTCTGTCGCTCCCAGCGCGGCGCAGTCACGCATGCGCACTGCTCTCAAGCAGAAGACTGTCTGCCACAGAAGGGAGGGCCGTGCGACAGCCGCATTTACACAGACCAGGGAGAACGCACCGCAGTCAGGCATGCGCACTGCCCTCTGCTCTCAAGCAGAAGACTGTCTGCCATAGAAGGCAGGGCCGTGGGAGGGCCACATTACACCGAGCAGGGAGGGCTGTTGGAGGGCCGTATTAAACCGACCCCCGGGCCGTAAATGGCCCGCGGGCTGGACTTTGGACATGCCTGGGATAGATGTATGCTAATTATTTAACCATTCTATGATACACAAAAAACAAACTGATCAGTGACCAACAGAAATAAGCTTTTACCTCTGTCTCTTTCCTCTGCTTGATCCAGATACTCTACTGCTATTTGTAGATACAATCTGACAATGAACAGTTCCTAGAAGCAGCATTAGGCACATTGGTCCAGCTTGCTCACTCACACTTGCCACAGGCACCAAGCAATACAGCACTATTGAGATCACTAAAAAATTATAGAGGATAAAATCAGACATACTGAGAATATAAAATCACACTTGAAAACAGTACATCAGTTAGCATTTTTTGAGATTTTGGCAGCATATAAAATCTGAAAAAAAAAAAAGAAGCAATTATATCTCAGCCCACAAGAAAAAACAACAGCTAGGAGTGTGGGATTACTGTAATGCTGAAAACTGGAAAAAAAAGATGTCAACCACCCACAGCAGGCAAGTATTAAAAAATATTATGTTTATGTGTAATATAATAATAAAAGGGGACCACAGGCAACACAAAATGTGTACTAAATATGTAAACTAAGAAGCTATTTACCTTTGTGTTATAGATCCAGGGATTGAAACAAAACAACTTGGCTTCCTTGTGAATTCTTGGCATTCACAAAAAATGCAAAGCATTCACATACTGAATATTTCAGAGTAGTTGCTGTACGCATCTGTTTTGGTTGTCATATTCTGTTTTGTGCAGTTCATGCGTGGGGCACATTGACTGCATTTGGCTATTTTGTGAAAAAAGAAACACATGGGGGTCTGTTCATGAGAAAACATTTCTGTGTGAATATCTCAATTTTTCCAAAAGACTACTACATTTATTTCCTATGATCGTCAGCTCTGCCTAGTGGCCATAATGCGTTATTTTCCTGAAACACCTCAATTACGAAAATATTGCATTATAGCCACTACATATGGTGATTATTTGTGAAATGCTTGAGATGTTTCCAAAGAAATGTTTTTTTATAAATAGACCCCAGGGTGTGTGCACTTAACCCATTTTCTTTAAAAGGCAGACCAGCAACCCATTATTCATCCACTGCCATTTTCAAACAACACTAGATAAATACAGTAGCCCTTGGGTAGCCATTCTGCCTGCTAATCAATGTTAGGTACACAGAGACACTGTACCGAGCAGACTTTAGGGGCTCGTTACCATGTTATCTCTGTGATTGGTCATCACAGTGATCACGATTTGTTTAGTGTTGATCCCTCCCTCTTACACAGAGGAAGGAAAGAGACTGTATTACTTGTGAATGGGGAAAGAATGATTGTAAAGGCAGCTGCAGAATCATTCATTTTACACTGGGAAAAGGATCTTTTTATAATCCATTCCTGCCTCACTACTCTCCTACACATATTATCTCCAATGCTGTCTCTAGTGACCTGTATATTAACCGTTCACCTTCTTTATCCTGCATTTGTGAACATTAACCCCTTCATCTCTATCCTGCCACTGTATGTGACCAGTACATTAACCCCCTCACTTTCTCTATCCTTTATGTATGACCTGTACATTTATTGTGTCTAATGCACCATTACCATGCACAATGTTTAAAATTAACTACATGATGACCAGCAACGTACGTGTGCATTGCTTGATTGGAAGTGTGATATCTTTGTCATCGCTGCAGAGACTGAGATCTAATTTTTTATTGCCGGCAATTCCTTTGAATGTAAAAGTAATCCTAGCGGCTAAGAAGCCACTGAATTACATTTACAGCTGGCAGAAGGGGGTCCCACCCAACAAATTAAATTCAAAATGCTAACAGCAACTTACAAAGCTATCCATAACTCGGCTCCCAGCTACATTATTAACCTACTCTCAAAATACCAACCAAATCATTCTCTTTGTTCCTCCCAAGACCTCCTGCTCTATAGTTCCCTTGTCACTTCTTCCTATACTCTCCTCCAGGAGTCTCTCCTATCCTATCAAATTCCCTACCCCAATCTGTCCAACTGTCTCCTACTCTGTCTTTTAGATTATCCCTGAAAACCCTTCTCTTTAGAGAAGCCTATCCTGCCCCTATCTAATAACTATATTTTTATTTCCTCCATCGGCTCATCTTCCACAGTTATTACCCCTTGTATTTGACCCTCCATTTTAGAGTGTACTCTCTAAAGAGCAGGGCCCTCTGATTCCTTCTGTATTGAACTGTATTGTAACTGTACTGTCTGCCCTCAAGTTGTAAAGCAATGCACTAACTGTTGGCACCATATAAATTCTGTATAATAATAACCCACTCTGTATACTAAAAACAAAACAAAATTATGTATTGTTCATATATAACACCACCCTGTCAAATGATAAAACAGTTGTGAACAAAACAAATAAAAATCCCATTTTGTGTTCATCGCTTTGTGCTCCACAATTATTTTAATATCATACATGTAACTCCACATGTGAATCTACCACCAGTCATATGCTTACCTTGACATTTGACTTATAAACAAATGGTCAAGATCTGCCTTCCCCTTTAAGGGGCATATAAATATTGGGTGGCTTTTGACACTTTTCTGGAGTCATGTATCACCCTTTATCCTCCACACTTCCCTTGTTTTCTTGGCCTCTAATGTTGTCTTCAAATATAGCAGAACCTATTCCTCTATAATGCTCTTTAACCTTTACCGCAACAGTTGTTCAGAGAAAAAAAGAGGAATCATAGTGCTTTCTGCTTAAAATATCACAAATTTTATCAAAAAGTTAAAACATATACTCATGGTGTACTGTGTACAACACTCGTGCTCTACAGGTAAAAGCATGTACACTTCCCCATTAATAACAGAGTTCAGCAGCCATAATTTGGGCAAAAACCTCTTACTTCTGGGTCCGATGTGATGATGTCATTAGCACCCCCTAACTAGGGTACAGTGTTACATGACAGAATAAATGTCAGTCAAACTATCAGAGCACTGAAAACTGAAAAATGGATTGGTAATGAAGGGGTACTACAGGCAGATACTCAAGTGGTTAAAGAGGATTTTAACAGTCTTTTGAAAACTTTCAATAAAAATTATCATAATTTAAATTATAATTGAAAAAGAAGAGGATTTGAACTTTGGAATCTGTGCCCAAAAATGGAAAGAAGAAGGGAAATGACTAGTCAGTAGTATTGTCTTTGGTATCCCTGGAGCTGATTTTTGTAGGAGACAACAACCTTGGTAGAGGCAGGACTTTGCTTCCTCATATCAGTGCATCCAGCAAGGAGAACAATGAGCAGTACAGTAGTGAAATCACTAAATCTCATTCAGTCTCTTAAGACTAGCAGTCAGAAACAGCAGTGCTTTGGATTCATGCTGAAGATACTATATACTATAGTTATAAGGTACAATCAATTGCCAGGAAGAATTCAAGATAAAAGGTACATTTTGTCAGAGAACTACTTAGGCACAATTTATATTTATAGATGTTTCACATAACATAGCTAATTTTCACTTTTTGAGTTCAGTTCCTCATTAATGTTGATCACACCAAATACCGAACAGGACACCTACATGTAGCAGGTGTAGTTTCCTTTCTCCACTGCAGGTGACACTCAATTGCAGTGGTATTGCAGGAGGAGAAGAGTCAAGAGGAACCTGTTCTTCCATGGTTTTCTGGGTCACTATGGAAGCAATCCGGTTGGATGCTGCCACCCCATGTGAATCTGGTGGCCATCTTGGGTCTATGTAAGACCCTGGCTCCCGGGTTTGGCGCACATTTTGCGAATAGACAGTGCACGGACAGATTACCTGCCAGTTAAGGAAAGTGAATGGGTGGTAGGGAAAGGTACCAGATGAATAGAGACAGGATAGGGGCATGCTATGCTTCCCAGGAATTCCTAACACGGACCTCAACCAAGATGGCCACCGCTGGACTTCCGGTTAGCGTCTGACGTCACTGATGCGTTTCGTCATCACGACATTGTCAAAGGATGGTATCCTTTGACAAAGTTGTAATGATGAAACGTGGCAGGAAGTGACCTCAGACGCTAACCGGAAGTCCAGAGGTGGCCATCTTGGTTGAGGTCCATGTTTGTATACCAACACTGATGTACATCTTTTTACTTGTAAGCGCTTAATACATATTGAATTGTTTGGTTTGCTATGCAATGGCTGTCTATTGTGCTTTGATTTACATACCGGCTTCGAGATGGAATTGCCAAGAGTGACGATGGTCTGAGTTTATCTATTCAAGGCTTTATTCATATGCAGTTTGGTAAGGTGCATGAGCCGTGAGGTGCTGGGTCACCTTATTGTCTCACACGGATTGGTGGTTATTGTTTTGGGTTTAGGGTGCATGGTGTGGCACTATATGATGTCCATTTATTTAAATTACTACACTATGTGAATTTTGTTTTTCCGGAGGGTCATTCATCACACATATGAGGAGGAATATGGAAGGAGGAATTCAAGGGATTGATCTCCCTTTACAAAGCAAACAATTTTTGACTAGAGGGTAAAATTAAGAATTATGGCTATAACACAGGGGGGCACTTGGTGAAGTTTTTGGCACTTTTTGAGCACTTTTATGTGAGTGTAATTTAGTTTGAATTTTTTACATGTGAAAGAGATAATGCACTATGCGCAGTTTATTTAATATTTTTGAGGGGTAAAGAGGAAGAGGATGACATTGCATTGAGGATATAGGAATTGAGCACTTAGAGATCCATGGTGAAAGCCCAAGCAATAAGAACTTACCTATCGACATTATAAGTTTAAGGACTTTTGATCTAATTGGGACTCTGAGCAACGGTTAATTTCTTGGCTTCCTGGGGAGGAAGTAGTATCTTAGCAACTGGGGGTTGTGTACCATGTGGATGAGTTTACAGTATACACATATTGCATTTTGTGTTTAAATAACATCTGGGGTTTATTCTGGATTTCACACAATCATTTCTGGTGAGTCATCAATCAATTCACTGGGGGACGGTCATGGCAATTTTGAATTTGAATTGTTTTACTGCAAGCAAGAACACTTTATGGTGGTGGATGGACATTATTTAAAAAACATTTTTTTCACCATTGTTTTCTGATATCGAGAACATATATTTGTTTTGACACATTTCAGTTTCACTATCATATATTTGGCGCTACACTTTATGTTTCACTTATTTATTTAGGTTTGTATACTACCTATTGGTGTTAGCTGCTTTACACTCTCCGTCAGCGCTAATATTGTTTTTTTTATTTTATCTGATAAATGCAGAAATGCTAAATTTTTTACAATGCACCACAC